GGTCGTCTACCTCCCGTGAAGTTAATACATCACCAAAACAGTCTCACCCGATAAATAAGTGGCGTAGGCCGCAAACATGAAGGATGCCGATTCACTTGTTTTCCTTTCGAAGTGTTCAAAAGCCTGTCGACAAACATGTGTTGAAGTCTTGATGTAATTGTACCGTGTAATGTTGTTGACGGGGAATAGTACACAAGTAATGAGAGATCGCATGTATGTGTTGACTTTTAAGTCTTGTGACGTTGTTGTTGGTAAAGGGATTCGAATTTTCGCCAACCGCGTAGTTTCTAGTTGTGCTCAATGATGACAGATGATGACGTCGGAACGAGGGCTGCAAAAAATGTAGGAAGTAGGTAAAGGAATATCTACGCGTGAAAAAGAAGCATGGAANAGACTGGTAAGATAACCGTTTGATAGGGGGCACCGCGATGATTCACGGGGCCCCTCCTTGCTGTGGGAGCCGCTCTTTGAGCACTCCCTCTTTCGTCCGTGTGAAGGACGGTCGTCTACCTCCCGTGAAGTTAATACATCACCAAAACAGTCTCACCCGATAAATAAGTGGCGTAGGCCGCAAACATGAAGGATGCCGATTCACTTGTTTTCCTTTCGAAGTGTTCAAAAGCCTGTCGACAAACATGTGTTGAAGTCTTGATGTAATTGTACCGTGTAATGTTGTTGACGGGGAATAATACACAAGTACTGAGAAATCGCATGTATGTGTTGACTTTTAAGTCTTGTGACGTTGTTGTTGGTAAAGGGATTCGAATTTTCGCCAACCGCGTAGTTTCTAGTTGTGCTCAATGATGACAGATGATGACGTCGGAACGAGGGCTGCAAAAAATGTAGGAAGTAGGTAAAGGAATATCTACGCGTGAAAAAGAAGCATGGAATACAGAGAGCATCAGGAAACAATGTACTTAAACAACTAAATGAGTGAGTCAGCGCGTGAGTGTCAAGGGGGGAGTGAGGCTTTCCACTCTCTCCTCACTCTTGATGCCAGTGTTCATCATTCATGAGCAACTCTCGGTGAATGCGTTTGTTTGCGACGACGGCGGTTGCTGCAGCGCTATTTCATCTATCTGTATAGATAGGCTGATGTGCATGCATCTAGCCTAGAAGCATTTGTCTCGACACGGTTGATTGAGTGACGTTCGTTGGAGTTCGGCGTGTCTCNAAAGGAATATCTACGCGTGAAAAAGAAGCATGGAATACAGAGAGCATCATCAGGAAACAATGTACTTAAACAATTAAATGAGTGAGTCAGCGCGTGAGTGTCAAGGGGGGAGTGAGGCTTTCCACTCTCTCCTCCCTCTTGATGCCAGTGTTCATCATTCATGAGCAACTCCCGGTGAATGCGTTTGTTTGCGACGACGGCGGTGTTCGTGAGTCTGCGAACATTGCTGTTGGATACATGTGCTGGATGATTTTGTGTCACGCAGACTGGTAAGATAACCGTTTGATAGGGGGCACCGCGATGATTCACAGGGCCCCTCCTTGCTGTGGGAGCCGCTCTTTGAG